TTTTCTCTCTCAGCTGTTCTGCTTTCTTCACCTCTTTCATGGATTTCGCATCATTTCAAAGAGGGAGCTGGATTTTGTTCCTGGCCTTTCAATCAGCTAACCAGCTTGGAGATACACCACAGTTACTGGCACTTGGTCATAAACGAAAAGCTTCCTGTCTCCAGGACTGGAGAGAGTGGGGGTGGGGGTGGGTGGGGGGAGATTCCATTTCCCACTCCAGCTGGGTCTTACATACCCAGCAACAGCCATACCATCTATGTGCCGAGGTTGTGGTCAGTGTTCCCTCTAAGCTGAGTTAGTGTGAGCTAGCTCACCGTTTTTTAGCCTCCAGCTCACACGTTTTGTCTCAGCTCAGCCTCCAGAGCACACTAATTTATGCAGTAGCCAAATCGCTTGCTCACAACTTTAATGCCAGTAGCTCACAAAGCAGAATTTTTGCTCACAAGACTCCACGGCTTAGAGGGAACATTGGTTGTGGGCTGCCGGCTTTTCTAACTTGAACCGACGGCAGTTGATCAGCAGTGGCCCAAAGCGTCTCTGAAATGTTTGTCGACGCACAGTTTGCAGAACCCGGACGTCCAGGCAAACCGGCACGTCACGTCTTGGAAAGGGAGACGGGCTCCGGCTGCAACCAGTTCTCCCCATCTGAGGAGACCCATATGGCACCCTCCACAAAACCATTATAGAATCCAGCATTCTCCAGCCGAGTAGGAAACCTGCAGTCCATTACTGTCATTCAAACGTTGCTGAAGAATCCACATTTAAGCAGTTCCGTATTGTCTGGCATGAGAAGAATCGCTCTTCAAAGAGAGCGCTCAGACTGTGAGGACCCATCGTGCAACCGTATGGTAATATTTCACTGCAAGCATTTCTGGAAGTTACGTGAGAAGGAGCCCACGGGACAGGGCTACTGCACACCTTAGCCCCTTAAAAGATCACTTTATACGTTTTTTAACAGACCCTTCAAGCCTCCTCTGTTTAAAAATATAGTATTTATTTACTTGGAATTTATTTAAAACATTTATCATCAGACTTTCTACCTTACAAGAACTCAAGGCGACTTACAATGGAAGAAGAGGAAGAGGAAGAAGAGAGATTGGATTTATACCCCACCCTTCACTACCCAAAGGAGTCTCAGAGCGGCTTACAATCCCTTTCCCTTCCCCTCCCCTCAACAAGACACCCTGCGAGGTAGGCGGGGCTGAGAGAGCTCTTTCGAGGACTGCTCTTGAGAGAACAGCTCTGAGAGAACTTGTGACTGACCCAAGGTCACACCAGCAGCTGCATGTGGAGGAGTGGGGAGTCAAACCCGGTTCTCCCAGATTAGAGTCTGCGCTCCTAACCACGACACCAAACAGAATGAAACACATTTAAAAACCCACTAGTTAAAATCAATAATTTCCAACTGCTGAAAGTGCTGGAATACAGTGGGCTAGGATCAGCCGACCTTTTGTAAGGTCCACCGAAACACTGAGCAGACAGCAAGTCTTATGACCATAGAAAGTGACACCTCGAGATGTGACCCGTTGGGCTTTGAAGAGGCAAACTGTGTATGGGATGCAGATTTTACTCGGGGTGGAGTGGGGGGCTGAATTTAGCTATGAGACTGACATCTTCCCTTATCCTCATCAGGAAGAAAATAAAATAAAAAATAAGGCCAAGACCGATGGTGCAAAATCAGGTAAAATTCAATTCAATTTATTACGGGTCTATATGACCGAAGTCTTGACCAAAAGAGAATGCAAAAGGGGTAAAATAGGTACATAAAATTGACATAAAATATGACAAGTACATAGTCATCAGGTAAAATTACATTTTATTACTCAGTTAAAATTCCCTAAGCATTCTGCCAACAGGCTTTGTTAGGGAAATCATAAAATATAATTTTACCTGATTCTGCACCATTGGCCTTGGGCCTTACTTTTTATTTCCTATCCTCATCAGAACATGAGTACATGATGAACAAGCTCTGCTGACCATCGTGCGAGTCGCCCCGCTTGAGGGCCACACAGGTTTCCCCATGCAGCCGGGATTAGAGGGAGAGGCGTGAGAATCAAGAAGCCCCGCGGTTAAGCTCTGCCAGACCTCCTGGTATTCAAGCTTCAGACAGCATTCATTCCACTCACGGGCCTTTTGAATTATGGTGCCTTACAGGACATTCCAGCACCCTTTAGCATACCATCCAGTTTAGTAGTGAACTCTGAAAACCCAAACCGTTTCCTTTTATGAAGTGGGAACACAGTGCATTTTGTCAACATTCTGAAGTCTTCAGAGACTCTGCGATCACAGGAGATGGCATGAGATAAGATCCCATGGGGCAGAAAATACATCTAAAATTATGATGGATTACCAAATGCAAGACATAGGAATGAACCCATTTTACTTTGACCTTGATGGACCAAGAGCCTGATTCAGTGTAAGGCAGCTTCATGTGTGGTCATGTGTACTTTATATGAAATTAAAATTTGACATTACAACACACACACACACTCTTATACTGAATCAGACCCTCAGTCGAAGAAGAATCTCCTTTCCCTTCCCCTCCCCACAACAGACACCCTGCGAGGTAGGTGGGGCTGAGAGAGCTCTTTCAAGAACTGCTCTTGAGAAAACAACTCTGAGAGAAATGTGGCTTGCCCAAGGTCACCCAGAAGCTGCAAGTGGAGGAATGGGGAATCCAACCCGGTTCTCCCAGATTAGAGTCCGCGCTTCTAACCACTACACCAAACTAGCTCTCTCCGAGAGGTCAGCATTGTGTACTCAGACTGGCCATGTCTCTCCAGGGTGTCAGGCAGAGGTCTTTTCCCATCACCTAATGCCTGGTCCTTTAAAAAAAAACAAAAAACAAACAGCTGGAGATGCCGGGGACTGAACATCTGTATGCCAAGCAGAGGCTCTTCCATTGAGCCACAGTCCCTCCCACATATACGCCCAAAGATCTCATCAAAAGCATTTAAGTTACAGTTTTCTCTTTCTACGCACAGAAAGAATTCAAGAGTCACCCTCACTAATCAAGGCTGTGGAGCTGCTTGTTATCTCTCACTGATACAACTGGCACCTGTCACCAGAGGTCATTTCGGGGGGGAATCGCAGTTCCCCTGGGAGAGGTACGGGGGCGGGGCACATGACGAAGCCCCGCACCCTGCTTCCGGCCCTCATTCAGCCAGGAGGAGGCAGGAGAAGAGGGAGGGTAAGTTGCTTCCTCCCTGCCTCCCCCCACCCCTGCCTGCCTGGGGCCAGGGAGGGCCTTCGCAGGGCTTCCTTGCACTCCCCCCGGCCTTGCAGGTACACCGCCGGGCCCCTCATGGGGCTCGGCAGTGGAGCTGCAAGGCCGGCACTGGCGGCCGGAACCATTGGGGGCGGGTGTATGGCCTTATGACACACTTCCGGTGACGTCAGGGGGTGTGGCATATGCTAATGAGTTATGCTAATGAGTTCCCCTAGCTCTTTTTCTACGAAATGACCCCTGTCACCAGAATGTCGCTATTTGAAACCATTTTGGAATTGGTACTCTCGTACTCTCATCCACTCTAATTACATCAGCACTGTTTCTTGCGCCATCTAAGTCACCTTAGTCATCTGAGGCTATAAAACTAGCCCACTGGGGGTTTGGATCATGGTTGACGCTCCTGCCTTGGCAAGTGAGGCGAAGAATGTCTTCTAGACTGGAGTAGCCACATTAGCCTGATGCAATCCTGTGGCCCCTTGAAGCCTTAACAATATTTTCATCTTATTTGTTCACAATTGTTTTATGCTGCCTTCCTACCCAATCGGGGTCCACACGGTGGCAAACATAAAAACATTATAAAATGGAAACAATTAAAAACACATTTAAATGGCAGAATCCAATTAAGAACACGTAAGCACACAGCACGGTGTTATTGATGCAACTGACGTGAAATTAAGCAAACTCCGGAGCCCGACAGGAGGGCCTGGGGTCGCGAAGAGTCAGACTCAGCTGCAGGACTGAATGACGGACCATTATGGGGGGGGGGGGTCTGCCAGATGGAACGAAAAGGTCTTCACCAGCTGACCAAAGACACCGATAGAAGGAGACAGATGAATCTCCCCCTGGGGAGGAAGCAGAAGGTCCCATGAGCCAGAGCCCACAGTGGAGGAGAAAGGTCATCGTGTTGTCTCTATCTCCCCAGAATACCTTAAAGCAGGGGTGTCAAACTCATTTGTTACGAGGGCCGGATCTGACATAAATGAGACCTTGTTGGGCCGGGCCACATGTGTCATAAAAGGTAACGCCAGGGAGCGGAGTTATAAACTTTATAAAGGACACAAACACAAAGGTCTTTTTTTAAAAAACTTAAAATAAAAACATGAGCACTCTTGCAATATTTTGTTTGTTTAACAGTCTCTGATAACTGACACCTCTTGGTCTGAATGATTGCATCACAATGTCTGTGCTGTTGCCATCCTGAGTAGGCTGTTCAGGTGTGCATCTGTAAGCTGCAAACCTACGATGACGCAACAGCAGCAGAACTGGAAGAAGCAGAAGACAGCCAGTTCCATTGCGGGCCTGATAGAAGGCCCCCGGGGGCCTCATCCAGCCCCCAGGCCGCATGTTTGACACCCCTGCCTTAAAGGGCTTCCCCAGAACAGTGCTTTAGGGAAAATAACTCATGGGTTAATTTTTTACCCCAATACACTACACCGTTTGGGATTAAACAGCTACCCCAATGACAAAATGCACATTTTTTGGCAGTTGTTTTTGACCCCAAGTTTTTTTTACAGAAAGTGAAATGGCAGTGGTTAGTGGCTGTGTTTTGTGGACATTGCTTACTACTGTACAGGTGGCAAGGTCCTAAGCGGAAAAGGTTCTAGAGACACTTGTCTCCGCATTCTGCCAAAAAAGGGACAACCTACAGTGGCTAATTCACTCCGGAGTTATTTTCAAGGTTTTTTAAAAAAAATCACAATGGAATGTCCATAAGATGATTTCTAAAGATGAAAAAAGCCAGCTTTCTGCAACGCTTATTTCATCGACTTACCATGACGGTGCAGTCCTCCGAGCCGCTGGCAATAACATGATCATTGTGAGGACACCAGTCGATGTCAAGCACCGGTCCCGTGTGGCCACATACTGTGGGGTAGGATTTGTCGATTCTACCTGTCTGGACAGAGAGAAGAGAGCACTGTAATGCACAGGGCAAAGGCAGCACAAAGCTCAGTATTCCAGTATTACACACACAACGAGAAAACTTCAAGGGTCAAATGTATAAGAACATGAGAGAAGCCAGTGTTGGATCAGGCCAATGGCCCATCTAGTCCAACACTCTGTGTCACACAGTGGCCAAAAATACCAGGTGCCATCAGGAGGTCCAGCAGTGGGGCCAGGGCACTAGAAGCCCTCCCACTGTTGCTCCCCCCAAGCACCAAGAATACAGAGCATCCCTTGCCCCAGACTGAGAGTTCCTATCTACACCTTGTGGCTAATAGCCACGGATGGACCTCTGCTCCATATGTTTATCCAGTTCCCTCTTGAAGCCGTCTATGCTTGTAGCCGCCGCCACCTCCTGTGGCAGTGAGTTCCATGTGTTCATCACTCCTATGGTGAAGGACTTCCTTTCATCCCTTCTAACCCGACTGCTCAGCAATTTCATGGAGTGCCCACGAATTCTTATGTTGTGAGAAGGGGAGAAAAATACTTCTTTCTCGACCTGCTTATACATCTCATACCAAGAAATAATCTTAATGGTGATATTTTCCTGAAGGGGCTTTTACGGGCAAAGATGTCTGGCAAATCCACAGCATCGGCTAGTCTGATCTCGTCAGATACAGGAAGCTAAGGAGCGTCAACCTCTGGTTACTCTTTGGATGAGAGACCACCAAGGTCACCACACAGAGGAAAGCAGCGGCTAACTGCCTCTGATAATTTCTTGCCTTGAAAACCCTACAGGGTTGCCATAAGTCGGCTGTGATTGGATGGTATACAGCATTTGCTCATCCAGCGGGTAACTTGCAACCATAAATGGAAGCAACTCTCCAGGGCTTTAGCAAATTGCTTTGCACACCCTTTCACTCCCTTTGCCATAATTTTTAGAAGCCCGTGGCAGGTATAATGCCGGAAATGCCTTTAACATGCCCACCCAGCAAAGGCAGTCTTGATTTCTAGTTTGCCTTGTATGCTTTACAGAAGCATAGTTGCGTCTGGATATTCTTCATGTATATCTTCTGTGGGAATCCATGGCTTGATTTACAGAGCTACTATTTACTCCTTGTAATTCCTGAACCTGGGATCGATCACACATTCTATTACCAGTTTGCTAATCCCTGGGTTAGTTTTTCCCAAATCAAAGTGCATTGCACAAGAAGTTGTAGAAACAGCTGTAGCTATTAGGTCTTGCAGACAACTGACCTTAGACCTGCTTGTCAAACAAGGACAAAGAGGAAAATCCTAAAGGAGTTAGAGCAATGTTCTCTATCCAGCTCAGTTTAAGCTTAATAGGAAGAACCACAAAGCACCCACTGAAAAAAGGTATACTATGTGACAACTGTAATGTGACAAAGAGGTCTATGACCTCTAACCTCATGGGAAGCCCACTATTTCATCACACTGTTTAAGGGGGCTCAGGGCTATTTTCGGGCAGGAACGCACAGGAACGGAGTTCCAGCTGGCTCCCAAGTTGGCCACGCCCAGCAGGAACTCATTAGCATAATAGGCCACACCCAACAGCAGGAACTCATTAGGATTGGCTACATTAGGGGTGTGTGGCCTAACATGCAAAGGAGTTCCTGCTACAAAAAGAGCCCTGTTAAAATTTGACAGCAAACAAGGTAAACAGAATAAGAAGCAAAAGGTGGGTGTGGCTGGATGACCACACTTCTGATAACATGGGGGTGTAGCCATATATGTTAATGTGCTGTGCTGTCAGGGGTGTGGCCTAATATGCTAATGAGTTCCTGCCATTGGGTGTGGCCTATTATGCTAATGACTTCCTGCTGGGCCTTTTCTACCAAAAAAGCCCTGAGGGGGCTACTGTGTGATTCCTTGGTTAACAAAGGGAAAAGCCAGCCTGTGACCTAACTTTCTTCCACGAGAGCTAGCCCATAGGGTTGTCAGAACACACGCACATATGGATGGGCATGAGCCACATTTTGGTGGTTCGGTTTGTGGCTGAACCACAAATCGAACCATGAGCCAATATGAACCATAAGCCATTGAAAGTTTAAGCCCCTGCTTTCTGCTCCCTGTGGCTCCCCCCCACACCGCTCTTGCAGAGGCTCAGCACAGCATTCACCCGTGTTTGAAGAGCTATAGCTAGACCACAGCACAGGCTGAACTTCCATATGATAGCATAATAATATGGACCCACCCATCTATTAAGATTCTTTTTCATGTGTTTCCATCAACTGAAACATCCTAGGACAGATACCTCAATACCAGAGCCTCAATACTACAAAGCCACCTCAATAGCACCCAAACCTGTGGAAATCCCACCCAAAGGAGGCCTGTCTAGCTCCAGCTCCGTTTGGCATTAAGCCAAAGTGGCACTTTTCCAAAGAGCTTTGGAGGTATCTTGATTGCCTTGATTTGACCGGCTGTTACCATTACAGCAGCTTTTTTTATTGTGTGTGATTTTCTTTTATGTTTTGGTTCTTGAGCGACTTTGGAGTCGTTACCTTGAATAATTTAACTGAAAAGCAGAGCATAAGTTATTCCGGGAGCAGGCTGAAAAGGCGCAGTGGTCTAACAGGACAGACTGTGGATCGGCCACTGAGGGACACGGCTTCCATTATTTTGCCTGCTATTTGCACGTGAAAGAAGCACACCTTAACCTAGGAGGGGAAAGGTTGCATTGACGCATGATGGACTCAAAATGAACGCATGCCCGATGAGGAAGCAAAAAAGAAAAAAAGTTTGCCTTATCTAAAGCTCAAATCAAAAGAGCTGCAGATGAATGACATGAGAGGCCCATGAAAAATTCCAACAAATATGAATACACCTGGTTAGTTTAAAGAAAAACTTAAAAAGAAATACCTTAACAGATGAAACCACATGGTACAGCTGCATTCAGGGACTAATCAAGATGTATCTTCATGTCTCAATCGGGGGGGGGGGAATTAGCCCGTAAAAGATAAAGGTTCCCTCGCTTGAAAGCCAGTTGAGTCCGACTCTAGGGTTGCGGTACTCATCTCCGTTTCAAAGCCGAAGAGCCAGCGCTGTCTGAAGACATTTCCGTGGTCATGTGGCCGGCATGACTAAACACCAAGGTGCACGGAACGCTGTTACCTTCCCACCGAAGTGGTACCTATTTATCTACTTGCAATGTCTTGCTTTCAAACTGCTAGGTTGGCAGGAGCTGGAACTAGAGACGGGAGCTCACTCCGTCATGCGGCACACTCGGGTCTCGAACTGCTGAACTACTGACCTTCCACAGCCTGCAGTTCACATACATATTAAACTGGCAAATTTCTCCCATCTGTAGGATCAAGATAAAAGCCAAACACCGAGTTTGCAAACAAACCCCTGAGTGTTAAATCAAGCTCAGCCCATTGTGCAAAATGACTGGAATGTTATGTTTTTATTTATCTAAAATGGCAATTCATTTGCTGAGACACGAGCCTGCAATTATCCCTCTACTGGTATCTTTCTTTCTGGGCTGACAAAAGGCTAGCGATGTTGAGTCAAACAGAACCAAAGGGGGCGCTGCACTCATCTGTCTGTCAGTCTGGGGTGTTCCCAGGAGACAGTCTGTTCCATTTCCATATAATGGCTTACTGCAGACTTCATAAATACGATCAAGAACAAAATGGGGAGTTCTTCCTGCTTGATTAGCAGCATCAGCCACAGACTGGCACTGGCTCAGTCCCAAGCCCTTATCTTTGATCGCTGCCTTCGGATGAAAACATGCACGACTGTTATCAGGATAGAAAAGATGGGAGTGACAGGTCTGTGGGATGGGAGTTAGCTCCCTCCTCACAAAAGCAAAATGTCCTCCTGTGATGAAATTATGGGCAGTGGTTTGGTGGAACAGAAGACGCTTTGCATCAACAGTTTCCAAGGTTAATCCCTAACAGCATCTCCAGACAGCAGGCTGGGAAAGACCTCTACAATGAGACATCAGACAGTCAGAGCAGACAGGCCAGATGGGCCAATGGCCCGATGAGGCAGCTACAGGTGTTCGGGAAAACAACTGAATATGCAATGAAGCGTGGTCACAACCACACTTCCATTGTATGGCCACGTTCCAGCCTGCCTTTGAGGCCATGTGAACCAACCATGCAAGGCGCTCCTTTTCTGGCAGGACTCTTGCTTCGAGGGAAGAGGGCAGGACGACACCATGTGGCCAAACACACCATCAACGTCACACCATCTGGGGAAAGGGGAAACTCCACGATCAGCTCCTGGCTTGGCTGCTGTTCACTGCGGGCACGACAAAGCAAGCTAACAGAAGCTTGGGACCTCGGTGCAATAAGCGTTATATCAGAATGTGAGCATGCAGAATAGATTCCACACAGGATATTGTGCCTAGAAGTAGATCATGCTCCTTACAGCCATTAATATGAATGCCAATAAAACAGCTAAGTGAAAGAACAACTGCAACACTTCCGGGTGTCAAGTGCTATGGGGGGCCTGGAGTTCAACTGGAATTACAACTGTATTTTCTCCTTAGGCCTCTGTAATTTCTCCTTGCCTTGAGTCACCGAGATTTCTTATAAGTAAGTGACTCAAGATATCTCCTTAACACACCTTGTTCGTATATTCTTAAATTAATTTCTAAAAGTATACTAACAAGCTTCCTTTTCTCCCCCTCTCTCCTCCAGAATAATTTTAATTGGACCTATTTTCAGAATTTAGGGAAATACTTAGAGCTAATGTACAATATATACGTTTGACCAAAGAGGTAGGCCAAATTGGCCAAAACGCGCATGGTCTTGGTCACATATGTTTTTTGTTTGATACCTATGTATGATTTTTATCCTGTTTTGAGGCTACTGTTGGGCCTATATCTGTTTTTGTCTAATCTGTAATAAATACAGGGGTCATGTCCTGCAGGAGCGCACGGGAGCAGAGCTCCGACAGTAAAGAGCCCAGGGGGCGGGCACATGCAACAAGCCCTGCCCCCTGCTCCCAGCAGCCCTCAGTCAGAGCAAGAAGCAGCCAGGTAAG